GTAGTATCGGCTTCAAGAATCGGCCAAAAAATATCGGCTGCAGTGTTGTTTTAGTCACTCTGTATTTATATTCGTTTGTTTCATTATTCAAAATACTGTGTGTTAGATGAGTTTTAATGGTGCAAGTTCAAACTAACATGTAATATTCTTTTATGCTATTTTAACCAGACTGTACCTGGCTGCAATGCATTTCAATGAAAATACACGTCTGCCGGCAACTACCTCACCTGGAGAGCCCATGTAGATTATTTTTTCCCAAGTTCAAGAAGGGAGAAGGCACAGCAAAGCCTATCAGAACTACTGAAACCCTAAGTAAGTCTTACCACATTAGTCACTTTTAGAATGCCAACTTGATTTCAATAAAWCAAAATCATCCATACTTTAATTATATCTCCCTTATTCAAAGTCGTGTCACAAGGGCATGTGATGTGTGAAAGTGTTGAATGAGAAACTTTTCCTCACAATGTTAATCAAAAATTACAAAAATAAGTGACACTTTACTGTTTCTACTATGCAAAGACTGTGTACATTTTAATGTTGTTGATGTTTTCTAGACTGTGCTGTGGATTCATCTCCAGTTGTCCCAGAAAAAGCCAGCATCTCCACACCACCTCCTGATGCAAGCGTCTTCACTACACATCCTGATGCACGCGTCATGATATGATACCTTTAACATTTGAATAGGAAATGATTTTGATTATTTGTAAATGTCAAATGTTGCAAAATGTAATATATCTTTGGACATTAGGCGAGGGGACATCAAGAACCAGAAAGGTCAATCCAGGTACCTGAAACCCAGRTGGAGGAGAATCATGGAAAGATATTTTTTCTCCATTAAAATTGTTTGTTAATCTGCAGCTCCTGAGGAACTAATCAAAGGTCATCGTTTGTTTCCTTTATTAGAGTGAAACAAAAAGTAATGTGACATCAGCAAAAGTTCTTAAACATCAACAAGAGTCCAAACATACATTCTTGAGGAACACCAACATTTTTATTAGACTCTCTTTAAATGATTATTTTTATTAGATGCATAATTAACTTGTCTATAAACCACAGAGACAAACAGAAAATTACCTATCATCTAAACTGAGAGGGTCCCTTAAACTAACAATTAGGTTGTTTAGGAATATATGTATGCTCACTGCATCACTTTTAAATATCTCATTGTCAGCTAAGATGTACGGTATAATTTTCAAAATGGTGACATGTTAACAATCTGGGTGGTTATCCTACATTTGGTGTGATTCATTATTAAAACTTTTTCATGAACTGTAACATAATGATGTGTCCTTACCCCTTCTTTTTGGCGCCATCCATGAGGCTGCGAACTGCGCTTCTGTTGGACTTCGGCGTTTCAGGTTTCTCTGCTTCAGAGGAGACTGACAGATTTTCCGTTGACTTCATTTCTGTGACTTACGATCAAAAACACAAGTTTACAGTTAAATAAAATCTGCACATTTCCTGCAGCCCACGTACCCAACCCACTCTTTCTACAGAAGTCATTAGAGTTTGAGTTAGAGTGAGTTCTGGAGAACATTAGTGGTCAGACTTACTCGGTGGACTGCTCAGGATGGACTGTTTAATCACGTCGCTGCTCAYCTCTTTGTGCTCGAAGCGCTTGGACCTCTCCTCCAGGAACCACTCTCCAGTCACAACCTTCAGCTCCCTGTCATACAAACAAACACACCAAAATACCACATTAATAAACATGGATTTACACAGAAAAAGCAATCTGAATGAGATTCTGCATTGGGTTACACGAGAAAATATAAAGTTAGGCTTGTTTTTTTTCTTGCATGTGGCCAAAACTTCATAAAGTGTGGGTGTTAGATGGGAGTGAGAAGAAGCTCTCTGAGCTTAAGCAGGTGAAACATTTGCTTTGAGAGCAAATAAAAACAGAAGCAGAGCAAATAATAAAAAATATCTCCAAGTTGAACTTTTCAAGCTAATATAACTAAAGCAACGAGGCCAGCATACAGCTTCTATGATTTTAAAATCAAGGATTAGATTTGGATCTTTTGTGGATTTTTCTCTAATCTAAGCTCAAATGTATAAATACGTTTCCAAAAAAGTTTTATTAAGTGCTGACTGTTCTAGAAAGTCTRCCGCAGACAAATGGAGACAGATATGGTGCCATTAAAGGGGACCTATTGTGCAAAATTCACTCATATTCAGTGTGCATTGCCAATGCAATCTGTAAAGCCCCTGTGCCAAATGATTGCTATGCCTTTTGGTGCCTGTAAAACTTATAGTTTTTGAAATATTAATGTTTAATAAATTATAATGGCAGTCAATAGAGCCTTGTATTGGTCCAATACTGCCCCCTGCTGCCTCTACACAATGTGGTACTGCACCATAGTTTTATAATATTTAAACTCAGTAGTTCCGTGATTACAATATTAATATGATTGTATTTTGATGTTTTACTGTAATACTGTCTTTATGTTGTCCTATTGCTGTAATATATTGCACTTAAGTGTCAATAATTGCATTGGCAAGGTAAACTTTTTCTGTATACATACAATCCAATCCCTGGGATTGCCCTCTGCTACGTCTCCTARAGTCTCATGATGAGCACTGTGGGCTTTCATGCGGGAGATCAGGGTTCAAATCCAGCTACTGCAACTTTAACAAAAATCTCTTCAAACTTCATATTGTCACACAATTACCTTAAWTACAAACACCTGCTGACGTGACAGGCACAACCTGGTATAGAAAACACATTTGATCCTGGTCAAAGCTCATTCTGCAAGTCCAATGCTGCAGGCAAAGCCATGCTGCAATGACATGCWACATGYCAATGCACACTTGTTTTTACATCGTAAAAACCCATGTCTAGTTCACTTTGGGTTTGCACTGCTTCCAGAAACAGTCCAAGTGCCAAAAATTTCTCCCAGCTGTGTTTCTGACATTATGTAAATGTTTTGTTTGTTTCAGCAAATGAGCTGTTTCAAAAACCTGCAGATTTTTACATCACAATCCGGGTAACCTAGCATGCCAAGACAAGACCAGCCCCTCACCTGATAACCCAAGCTGAGACTTCAACCACTTCATAACAGGATGACCACATTTGTTCTGTTGTTTTAAGAACAAAAATGCATGGCTTGATTTTATTTTTATTTTTACGGCAATGTCCCTACGATATTGCCAAAGAAAGTTGTAGTTTGCGCAAATAATTTCACAATGGACTCTTTTGAAAACTACAACTACCTAAAATGAACCTCATAGGTACCTACCTGACCCTAAAACTAACCTTAACTCAATTCACACCTTAGTCCTAAACCTACCCCCCACCAAAAATTAGCATCCGTACCTGTGGGGATCGGGCTTTGGTCCCACGAGGCTGCCTTTCCCTGGAAAATGGTTCCCCCGATGTAGCAAAAACATGACCACACTTACACACACACACAACTGCTCTGCCTGCAGGTAACACACTTACGAGATCTTGGCGCAGACGTTGCACCTCCACTGGCGTGACCCGGCAACCGTGACTCGGCAGTCACAGCAGACGCGCAGTCGACACTCTTCGCAGAGCTCTCCACGGTCAAAGATCAGGCCCAGAGCCTTCAGGCAGCGAGCACACTGACGCTCCCCAGGTTCCTGGGGCCTGCGGGAACCTTTCCGCTTGATCTCCAGCAGCTCATTTTTAAGCTTCCTGCAAAGCAGAAACAGGAAGCGGTGAGAAAAGAAAGTGACGGAGATGAGCTCAAAGGCGACACTAAAAATCCTCACCGTATCCTTTTCTCCTCTCGCTTCCTCAGTTTCTCGTCCTTCTGCAGCACCTTCAGGATCATGTCTCTTTCGTGCTCCAGCAGGAAGGAGAGGTTGAGTTCATCCACCGTATTCTCCATCAGGTCTGCAGTCAGTGGAAATCAGCAGGCCAGATATCTTGCACGGAGGAGTTCAACGAGAACTACATGTTGCTTYTTTTCTCCAAAATGTCTGACTGGCAGCTGAGTTTGTGTTTTTCTGTTGGCATCGTTGAAGCTGTGATGTACAGAAGGGCTGGAGCTGCTCTGKAGTTTCCTCTTTGATTTTCAGGTGATCACTCTGAGAAAACCTTGAAAATAACAAATAAGACACAAAGAAATATCAAAAACATATGTCTGACTTTAAAACTATATTAAAAAATCTTGAAGCTAGAGGCAACGTTTTATTTAAACTCATAATGTGCCTCTCTTTTGGCCATGACTTAAAAAAAGCTTTAATTAAAATAAGACATTTCAGCCTTATGAGAAGAAAGTGGTGAATGTTTGACAGCTCTAAAGCTTAACAACCCCCAATTAGCTCTTTAGCCTGATASTCAGAGTACAGCATCCATATTACTTTGCTTCCATTATTTCATTTCTATAAATTCTCTGAAAGCCACAAGACTTGTACTCATTATCTGCACACCTGCGTACCAGGTCTCACTGCTGCATAACTCTTATCTGACTCTGGAGACAAGCTTTTCAGCAGCTTTAGAGACACGACCGCAAAGATGGAGACGTCGCAGGCAGAGTGTCACTGCTGAACAAATTACTGGGAAATATCATTCTGGGCCATAATGAGACCTGCACTTTGGATTTTCTGTAAAAAATGACTAGAAATTAGGTTAGTTTCAGTTTTTGTAGTTTTAATCTATGTATGAAATGCTTTAATAGTTGCAAAACTGAACTGACATTTTAAATACAAGRCAGCTAATGTCAGTAAAATATCCTATGAACCACTGGACATAATTTAATGAAACCAGGAAATATTCAATGAATTTAGCCAGCTTATTTCAAGATGGRCACAAAAGCCAACCAACTTTAGAGGAAACACAAAAACCAGGCAGTTAMACAGATACCGTGTTAAACTTTCATGTGGTAGTAGCTGAGAACCATTCATAACACAAACTCTGAGAGCTCTCCTGAACCACAGGGCAGGTTTTAACAAAACGCTCAGAAAATATTCACTAGATGTAAAATGGTAAATGGCCGGAACTTGTAAAGTGATTTATCYAGTCCCACGACTCCAAAGCGCTTCAGTTATCAAGCCAATCTGATAAATTAAAAATTAACACAATCCAAGATGGCTGCCACAGCTAATGCAGAAAATGGTTATAACTCAGTGAATTTTACTTACAGGTATATTGAGCTACAGCTTGGCTTTCATATGAGAATCATCCTTAACACATACTTTGATCATGACATAATGTTATTAATAAGTTTTAACTAAAATGGTTAATACTTTCATTTCTTAACAGAAGATGATCTCAGTCTCAAACTCTGGTCTGAAATGTGAGAGGTGATAAACACTCCATCGAGGAATGCTAGGCCTTATTTCCATATGTTTTTATCCATGATTTAGTTGTGTTAAGTGTTTTAGATTCACAATCATCACATTATTACAATAGCCCAAGGATTGCTACCAACATGGATTGCAGTTTCAACAGGGTAAAAAAAAAAAAAGAAAAGGAGGAAAAAAATCATTTAAATAATGAATTGCTAACCAGAAATGAAGCTGTACACAACTAAAGCCGGCAGTCCTCATTATGAGAAAATGTCACTCTCAGTATGATGAGTGGCTCTGATTAACTTCTCATGTCTTGTTTATTAGAAATCTTGCATCTGAAAACAAAATCCTTCATCAAGCAAATGAACCAAACAGAAAGAAATAATAAACAAATTCAATAAAAGTGAACCATTTTCTTCCACGACAAATGAAACTAGTCAAAAAGATTAAAATTCAGATTTGTGCTGGGATCTGCATTAGCTCACAGCATCCTCCTTCAGTCTTCGTCCTCCCCTCATCCTCTCTCCTCTTCACTTTATGTGAATTAACACTAATGAACCTGCATCATCAAAACTCCATCTGCAGCCAGAGGCTCATCACTGATTAGACCATTTTCAGCTGAACTCCAGCTGCTCTGTCGCAGACGCTGACAACATTTTGCTTCAGGTTTCAGATGTGAGGTGGAGGTTTATTAGAGAAAATATTAAAGGGTTGGAGTTAACTTTATGTTTAAATTGTTCCCAGTTTTTATTGTGATTTTACAAAAAAGTCTGCAGCCACAGAGTGGAGACTTCACACAGGCACAACGTCAGAGCGGAATACAAATATGTTGACTTAATGGTATTATTTTATAGTATTAATATTTTATATTTTTATATTATTTTACCATGTTATCAGACTGAAATCTTTGTACCACAGCGAACAAACAGTGACTAATAAATGAGAAGATTAAATGATCATGGTTATTTAAATTGATTACTAAAAGTTAAGAGGAATAAAATGTTGCAACAAATATTTTGTATCGTTCAGAAACACATCTACAGTATTGGGTTATTTTAAAAAAGTTCTCAAACCTTAATGGTCTCTCTTTTTTAAGGTTTAAAACGTACAAATTACAGATTTCAAAACTGTTGTGTTGAACATAAAAGTGGTGAAGTTTGAAATATCAAGCTTTAAAAATTGTGTTACATAAACTGTTACAAAATAACTCTAAAACATTTGATCATCATAATAGCATTTATTTATTTAGTCTTTTTAGGTAATTTTATAAAACTGTGTTTTATGAAATTATGAATTTTTTCCTCCAAGTTCACCAAAATATTGTGTTCTCCGCAACTTTGTTTTGTTTTTGTCCCTGCGCCTCATAAACAACAAATTTACATTTTCCCTATCAGCGTTTAAAAAAGCTAATTACGTATTTAAAAAGAAAGAGAGAGAGAAATGGTCGGGACAACAAACACCACATGATTTTCCTGATGTTCTCGGTACACATGACTAACTCTCAGGCAACAGTGTCAATAAAGCGAAACTAATATTTATCTGAGCTTCTGTCGTATCACACTGCGACACTGTGTGTGTGTGTGTGTGTGTTTCTGTAGGGGTGGTGCAGCCCTCCCTGAGTACATACAGCACACATTCTCTCTACCCTGAGTAAACAAGATGGTAGAGGCTGTAAAAGTTTGGCATCTCAGAGGAGGAAACACTTTCTGTCGCTCGGAGGGAAGTGTGGTGACTCAGCATCAACACACAGGTTTCCATCTCTTCGTGTCATTTACGCATAGGATATCTTGTTACCAARCTATTCTGCATCACGTGGCCACGGATCCTGTGGTCTTGTTAGTGTTTTGTAGCTCGGTGGCCTTTTCAGCTCACAGACAGCAGACTCAATTTGGCAGCTAAAGACTGGAAGTAAGCTTTGAACAGCTGGTCTTTAGTTGGCAGGAAAGCAAAATAGAGAGGAGTGAAAAACAAACACAATATCCATATATTTATATTTAACTATGAACAGTCAGGAGAGTAAAAATACATATGCTAGAAAGCTGTTCATATATTTTATTGTGTACTAACTCTATCATACCATCTGTTCTAGTTAACAAGCTCACCAACATTAACCTGTGACTTTCAATAAGCAGGTGGTTGTCCAGTTTTCTGACACTAGAAATCAAATGTACAAAAAACTGACAGTAGAAACTAATGCTCTGCAGTTGGGATCCCACAAGGCTGCTGTCTTGGTCCATTTATAGTACAAATTGTGTACACCAAGTTGTGTGACTCACTTACCCCATAAATTAAAATGTTATTCATGTCAATACAGTTCAAAATGGTTGCCACAGCTAACCAACATTAAACAGAAAAAATGGCTACAACTCAGTCAATAATCCAGGAACTGAGTTAAGATTTAATGTTATTCCCATTATATTCTCAGTCCTCTGATGTCTTTGTTAAAACCTAGAATGAAAGGCTGTAGGTGAATTGAGGTTTTGGTAGTGTTAAAGTGTTATATTATTGGTCCCTAATATTTAAATTTAAATTTTATTGTACTGATTTCTTTTCATTTTATTGGTTAGGAGAAGGCAATATACAGTACATTTTACTGCATTACATATACACATACTGTATATGTTGTAGTTTAGGACAAAAATATATCAGTTATATACAAAGTATATGTATTTATAACAAAAATAAAAAAAAAATAACCCTCCAAAGCAAGTGTTCCCAACCTTGGGAACATGACCCTGTGCTGTATGTTTTGGTTGTGGGGCCATGAGGACCAGGATCCACAACTGAAAGTGTCACAGTGGTTCAGTACCAGAATGCTACCTTCCACCAAATTAAAACTTTAACTGTAAATTATATTATTTTAAGGAGAAAACACTGTGAGATGACAAATTTCCCTGCAGACTTAATCCTTGGTGACTGTGCTTCACACACCAGGACATGTTTTGGTTGTAGATTTATGAAGCTCTTATTCTCTAAAGAATGAGTCTGATCATACTTTACATTTTTTATTGTTTCTAAATCCCCCCAAAGACCAACCGTAACAGTGAGCTGATCCTCCTAACACGTGTTGCCTTTTGTTGCCAAAGCCGGCTTTACTCTGGCTTAGTTCGAAGCGTCAACATCTTACAATGTGACTGATTAAAAAAAACAAACAAACAAATGTTCTGATTAGTTTTATGTATGAAGAATGTTTTATAACAGACATTTAAAGTCTATCCATCAACGTGTCTCCTTCTCTTTGTAATGTTTTCCCCCACAGGCATCATTGTTTTTCTCATTACCTGCAGTGATCAAAACAGCAAACATCTGTTCTCCCAAAGTGTTTTTTGTTTTATCTTTGGCTAAAATTCTAAGTTGCTCTTGAAGCTGAAATGTACTCGAAGTATTGAAATGCAAATAACATTTTACTCAMTCTTGATGAAGTAAAGTCAGAAAGCAGCCGAGGAGAGAAGCCCACCAGTGATGGGAGAAATCTACATGTAAAGTTATTGTCACAAGGTGTGAATTTTTAATGCGGATTCAAAACAAAACACTGAAACGTGTCTAAAATAACAATATGCACATAACAAGCTCCATTAACATTCTCATCACACGACTCCTTTAGTTTTGGAGTCTCGAATCATTAAACAGGCAAAGTTGTGTCCCCTTGTTCTGAGAGTCTGCATTGTTCTAAACATTTGAACAACTTTGGGATCTCAATGAAATTTGCCCACTTAAATCAAGGTTATTTATAAACAATGTTATATGCAATCATTTAGTGCAAGAATATGAGCTAGGGGTGAGTCTCAACAACTACCACACCAA